AAAGAGACCTTTTCACTGCCTCTTGGTTGGCCTTTTTGATGCCTTCTGGGCCAAAAGGCCTTTTGAAAGGATGGGACCTAGCTTTTGGAAGGCCCGAAAGACCTTTTGCCTTTTTGGGACTTTTGCTGGCCTTCTGGTCCTTTTCGGCCTTTTGAAAGGCCCAAAAGTCCCCAAAAGGCTTTTTGTGAATTTCCTGATTGGCATGCTTTCCTTCTGCTTGCGGCGGCGCATCACCCTTTCGAAAACCACATGTCTCGCGCAATCGCGCTCCGACTGGCATATCTAGCGTCATTGTCCACCTCCCCAGTTCACGCTTTTGCGTGATTCTTTCGTTAAGGCCGCGGTCGCGCCAGGTCTCCTGCGAGCCAGACGGTTCTTTGTCAAGGAGCAAAATGAAGATCCTACCGATATGTCCTGGCGGCATTATCTCTGTCTCAGTGTACAAACGACTACGCTTCTGCTTGTGAGGTCAAATATCCGACCTATGTCGACCGAGGTCCGAATTCAACGAGGAACAGCAAGTAGGCAATTTGGGTCAAACTTGTGGACCATGGCGGCTTCCTTAACTCTAATACAGCCTCACAATAACCCCCTGCTCCCTTTTTATCACACCTCTCCGCCCTCCCGCCCATGCCTGTACCCACCCCATGCAATCCGCGTCGACCGCCCAAAATGGCAAGTCACGTGCTCCATTGCCGACCGAAATCCAACCGAAATCTCGCACGACGCGGCAGCTGACGCTCTATCGAGTGTATCCCGTTGTGCGCCATAGTCATCCCCTCCTGCATAATTCTTTTCCCCCCGCCATTCGAGGGGGAAGGTCGCTGCTGAGCCGCTCTGTCTGGCAGCTGTATGGGAGGCATCGGTGGCGTTTCTTTGTCGAACATACACGTGGGCGGAGGTAATTTGGGGCGGGGGACTAGTGGTCGGGAGCTCGGGAGAGAGTTTTGAGCGGATTGGGGGAGGGACAGTATATGTGGACTTGGAAGTTGCCTGGCGGACAAGTGTAGGGTGCTGTGAGTTGAAGGTGTTTCGAAACCCGTTTCAAAATGGTTTCGAAACACGTGTGAGTTTTGAAATGTTCCGAGGGTTGCCCCGGTTTCGAAACCGGCACGTGGTTGTCCGGGATGCCCGACCTCGGCTTTCGGCGACTGTTGTCATGGCCCGGGTGGCCGACCATCACCAGAATGGCACCTCCCCCATGGGAATAGCTCGGCTGTGGCACCAACTCCCCTTGGCGTGGACCGGTATGCCAATGTGGGACGTTGAATCTTGGTTGGCACCTCGGCCGGCTGCCGACGGAGCGGTCCGGTCCCGGTAGCCGGCCGGTTTCGAAACAGTTTCGAAACACCACTGTTTCGAAACCGGTTTCGAAACAGCTGTGAGTAATTCCTCAGGAATTACACTGGTGGCAATGCCAATGGCGGTTGGCAATGGGGGGTCCAACGGCAGCTTGAAGGGAAATTTTTTTCCTTTGTTGCAGACAAAGAAACCTTTGTTTGCACTAAGGCCGCTGTTGGATCCCCCATTAACAGGCCGCCATTGGGTTTGCACCCAGTGTTACTCACAGCACCCTAGACAAGTGCTCTAGCCAGACAATGATAAATTTTGACACACAGAGGCTGGGATTTCACTGCCCTGTCCCTCCTGGCCTGTCGAGTGTCCTTGACAGCTGGTCCTTGGTCGCGTGGAGAAGGAGGCAGTTGACATTAAACTTCGTGATTACTGACCCATTTCGTTCAATTCAGCGGGCCTGTGACCCGTGACCGTTTGGCCGAAATGTCCAAGCCGAATTTTGTGTAACCTCTTACCTAAATAGGAAATTCAGCACGCCGAAGGCGCGAAAACTTTGAAATTTGTCCAAATCGGGACGTTTTGGGACCAAACGAATGGGCTGTGACCTGTGACCGGCCGAAATATTTCGGCCAAAAATCCGATGTGACCGTGACCGGCCTAATTGAAGGAAATAGGTCAGTATACTTCTGGAATCCACTATGTATATATTTTCTACTGCTGCTTGTCAATAACATGCTTTCTATATTTGGTTTATACAATCTGCTCGATAGCTGTATTGTATGGGGGTTTATCTTCAGACCTGCTTCCACAACAGTGTCGTTACTAGTACATATGATCCATTTCTATCACTGCTTGTCCAATTGGTACATTAGTAGCGAGGAGTATCAGGTAGACGAAAAAAATGGAGCAAGTCAAGACCCCCCCCCGCACCCGCCGCTCAACTCGACCCAGGTCAAGACCACCGTGCTGCACCCACTCCTGTAAGGTAGATGCCATCCATCATCAGTCAAGGTCACATGACACTCCAAATTGGGAAGATGTATTGCTTTGAGTGCATTTTTTTATGGATCTGCACAATTTTTGGAGGAGCAGTAGAGGTCTATATTACAATGCAGAGTACAAAATTCCAGAGAAATTGATATAGACTAAGGTACTAAACTGGTCATAGTGTAGGAAGTCCAGTGCGGAGACCAAATCATCAAATGTGTATCAATGATGATGATTTTTTGATGTAATAGGCTATATCTAGCTAGATTTTGAGTAAAAACCTTATCCATAAAAAATTGGTCTTGTTCACCCAATATGGTGGATCAGGTGACCTTGACTGATGATGGATGGCATCTACCTTATCTCGAGACAATGGTTGCCTACAAGAACAGCCTCGACAATCGTGTCCTTGCAGAGGACCCTGCCCAGTGCCGAAACCGGGGCCGCCCGCACAGGGAGACCACGGAGCTCCGCTCGTTGCAGCCATAGACGGTGTCGCTGTCGACCGGCCCCGTCTCCTCTGGGACGCGCAAGTGGCTCGAGCGAATAGCGAAGGAAGGGAATAATGCTGGGCGGAGAAGCCTGAGAGTCAGAAAGTAGCGTGTAAGCTGGTGTACATACCAAGAAGATGGGATTGCAGCTCCTCGGTAACCTGGCATTGTTCTTCGGGGGGGCATTTGGAGTCGTGACAAGGGCCCCTTCAGCAAAGCGTTGTTGTTGGGAAAGGACGGAAACAGAACCAGAAAAAATAATCGTCAGTGTGATATAAGGAGAAAGACAACTTGAAGGTTTACGCACTGTTCACGGCACTACCAGGACAAAATCCGAAAAGTAGCCCTCAACATTGCCAATTTATTTGCGAAAGCCAATCGGGGCCAGAAAAAGATGAAAGACAATCAGGCAGAGTCGGCGGGCCACGGGTACATGCACACAGAGACATATACGTGGTCATTGCACGCAAAAAAATGCTTGAGGAAGGAAGAGGAAGGAATTGCAACCTAGAACTTGAAAACGATAGTCAGGGTCACCGTCTTCCAGTGGGTGCTTAGTTGCACAACGCACGTTAAATCACGTGTCTGGCATACTAGCACGCAATGTGAGAGAACTAGGGCTCCAACCATTTCCGTGTACAAACATTTATACACGGTTATAACCGTTTTCATTTTCATTTAGTTTACCATGGTATGTAAATGGTAAATAAATGAAAACAAATGGTTTAAATAGTTATTCCCTAATAACAACAGCAGACAAGCTCATAACTATACTACTGCTAGGAATATGTCTGGCTACCAAATGCATACTAGTGTAGGATATACATTCCACATGAATATGGATAATTGTTGCATTTGTAGGCTTCCTCTTGAAGGAATCCATCACATGATCTGGCATCAAATAAGTCAAAGACAATGAATCTTGACCTACATGCCCATCTAGAACAGTATTACAAGTGAGAAAATAACATCTTTCAGTTGAATAAACCTTATAAACTCAAGGATGTACCATAAAATTGTTGATCATGATATATTATTATATTACCATTTTTAACCGTTTTTAAATGGTAATAAATGTTTACTAAATGTTTTCTTACCATTTCCGTGAAGTTTACCTGGAGATGTAAAGGAAAACTAAATAATTGGAGCCCTAGAGAGAACTCCAGGCACAACTCGGAGCAGGCGAGCGCCACGAAACTACTCGCAGCATTTTGGTACTGGTCCTGGGTGCTTTTCGGAGGTTGCAGAGGGAGGTTGCGGAGGGAGAAGCTGAGACGAAATGTTGCCAAGGTATTTGCTGTGTTGCGTGTACTTATATCCCTACCAAACCTGCCGACCCTACGTCCAACGCCAACGCTGCGGCAATTGCTGCTCACGAAGCTGAAGTCGAAAAGTACGAGGATGCTTTGGAGGTTTACGAACCGGCAAGGCCAAAGTCCGGTCTATCCTCTATTCCACGATTCACGAGACTCACAAGGTCTCCATCCTCACCAAATCGACTTCTCACGAGTGCTGGACGACTCTCTGCGAGCAATTCGAGAAGCAAAGCGACATTTTCGCTCAGGCTATTGTTACTCGGATGCACGCGCTCAAATGCGCTGATGGCGAAGACGATCCTCGTCCCAAGCTTGATGAGCTCAAGCGCCTTCTCCAGGACTATGCCGGCATCGGCGGGGTCATGGCAGACACCGAACTCAAGAGCATTGTCATCAACCTGCTCTCACCCGTTTGGGCCTTCACCATCCGCACCCTCCTCACCCAGTACAAAATCCAGGCTACGATCATGGCCACCACCAACCCTTCCTCCAAACCGCCCGAGCTCACCGCTGAAGCGCTCATTGATACCATTCTTCATGGAGGAATGCTGGCCGAAAGGGACTGGTGCGTATGTCTTCTGCTCTGGCCGTAAGTGGCCCTGCTTATGCTGCCTTGCAGTTCGGTCATCTCGCTTGCTGGTGAAGTCCACTTAGCCTAGCAGGAGAGTCGGAAGGATATTGTGCGATTGGTTGTGTCCCATCGGGCCGATCATAACTCGCACAATTCTCATTTTATGTTCCAGCTGAAGACCACCCCGGTGAGCTACCTTCTACCATACCGTAAGACCTGTTAGGTATACTTTTTTGTAAGTAATTAAACCACCTACCTTGAATGATCTAAGAGTGCTTCGCGTCACGTTATCGTGCTTGATCCGAAAATGCTGTGACACTTCTTTCAACAAGAGCTTCCATGGCGCCGAGCAGAGGCCTCCCAAACCACCGCGCTTCCAATCAGCATGAACGCGCCAGTACTAGTGGCGCGGGCAAATACCATGTCAGTCCCCTACGGCCGCGTGCGGGTCGTATGAAGCGTCTTGTGAAGCCTACCAAAGATCAAGCGATGCGTAGCGCTGCTCTGCGCTCCGAATTGGCTGCCCTTCTGAATGGCGAAACCCCGACTAAAACCCATGAGAGTCCCATGCCTCAGTCAGACGCGGTGGAATCGATGGAATGGGAGGACGAGGAGCTTGATGTTGCAGAGGAGATGGTATTCCCGGCACCAATCCACGTTCCATTGCCTCAACGGGATCCTCCAGCTGTTGCACAATCACGGCTCAGTCTACTAGGTGCATGGCAAGTCCTCTTGCCAGCCTTGGAAGCGCCATGGACGACATTTCGAACCGCAACATATGCTTCTCCACCCTCCCATATTCCCCCTTCCGTCCACTATGCCTGTGAATCTGGTTGTACTTCGCTCACCCATAGCACTGTCCAATGTCTTTATCCAACACGTACATTCTCTCAATATGACAACGGCAGGGTACTCAAAAAGCTCCAGATATGCAAACCGTGTCCATCTCCACATGTTACTGCAGGCCTCTCGGCGCAATTCTTGTCCAACATGGAGTTTTCCCCTCGTCACCAAGACGGCCTCGCATAGGCATCTCCATCGATCTTCTCGAGCTCTACCGTGCTGTATTCGAATGATCATGCGATGCAATCACGGCCTTGGCTCACGCCCTTCGTACCGTTTACGAACGTCGTGGATATCATGTTCTCTCAACGAAGGTATGTGATTGACTTGCCTGGTTACTACTGCTGACTATATCACTTATAGCAGGAGGGTGCCCATGCCTCAGATCCTTTTCGGCAGAGCTTGACTCAAGCCGTGTTATGGTCAAGCAATCTCCGAGACCGCCTTCAATCTCGCGTCAATGCGGTACTGGCCGCTGCGGAGGATAACATAGCAAGCGCTACTCAAAACACAAGCGTTACTCAAGATGCTACTCAAAGCGACATCGATCACTCGGCATCAATGGGTAGCATCTCCTCATCAGTCTTTAACGAAGCTGCCGACGATAGCTCTGCGACACCAACTCCAGTCGTCGACAACAACAACAACAACAACCCTCAAGTAACGCTTCAAACTGGTCAGGCGGACAGGATTCTCCGGGAGCGCTGCCCCTTGTGCTTCAGCAGCACGGACTGGGGTCGTCCACTCAGTAGGTATGTATTCAAGTATTCAACTGGTTTGCTTCTTCAGCGCTGACCTGGTCGCTAGTGGTGGCGACATCCAGCTCGCCGGAGATGCTTGTTTTAGTTATCGTCATCTGCGCTCCGCTGGCGATGGTCCGACAGGATATCAACCAAAGTACTTCATTGGCAAAGAGAAAGGTCGATGTGGTCAAACGTCGGATGGATGAAGCAAGGCGGAGGCGACCGGCACCAGCAGATGACAGATGTGCGGAGAACTGGAATGCTGCCAACGAGAAGAAGCGGGTGGCAGATCCCAAGCGATATGATGCAAGTGGCATCTTTGCGCTGACCTGTCGACACTCTCAGGTGATCTTCATGTGCAACATCGACACGCCTGGCGAACAACATCACTATATTGTTGCCCTTCTCGAGGAAGTGCTCTCTCACCTCCCCTTGGTAGCGACCATCTGGCAAGCTTACGATGTGGGTTGTGTAGTTGATCGGACACTGAATTTGGTGAGCACCCCTTCCCTTGCATTGATTGACCACAAGAAGAGCTCATCGTTTGGACATAGTATGATATCCTTGGGCCCGGAGTCCGGCAGCGGGTAGCATTCGTATTGAATGCAATGCACGCTTATGGGCATGAATGGGCGTGTCAACTCTTGTACAATCCACGAATGGTTGTCGGAATGGGATTGACCGATAATGAATGTATTGAACGACTATGGTCCCGTATTCGCAAGCTTATTCCAATCACGCGTGGACAATGGGTATGTAGTTTTCTTGAGATATTGTGTCTAAACTCACGCAATCTAGAATTCACGGCGTATATGGACAATTGACCAGTATGCTGCCTTCGTCAACGAGGATGGCTTCTATAACCTAAGCGCCTGGATCATTCGACAAGATTCCAAAAACCTAGTCTCCAAATACAAGACTGCTGTAGCTACCCTACGGCGATGCGGTGTTCCAGTCACCGAGCTCCGAGTCGAGTGGGCGGAGCAAAAGGCAGCGCAACTTTCGGCGCGAAGACGTAAGTAGCACTACTTTTTGCTCCTATTTGATTCTGAAGCAAGCTGTAGATGCTCCAAAGCGTTTGTGTCGCGAATTAGACAAGGTTATCACACTTCAAGCCCAAATTGACACGGTGGAGAAATCAATTGAGGATGTGCAACAATCAATACCCAACAGAGCTCCTGGAAGCAACTCACGCAAGTTGTTAACCAAGCTCGAGGCAACACAAGTGGAGCTGCAAAGGCAAGCCGAGGAGCTGGATGCGTCACTCAACATTCCTGGCATCTATCCAGCACTCCAGGGACTCTCCCCAGAGCTTGCGCGACTTCTCATTACGATGCGCGATCTGAAAATTAGCATCCGCAAGAAGGCAATCGGCTCCTTTCAGGAATGGGAGACACTGGATCAAGCTGTCTCAGGTCGACGCGAGCCATTAGGTACGCTTCCACTTGATCAATTAAGCTATTGACTCATTGTTCATCTCCAGGAACCAAAATGTACCAAGCAACTCGCTCTACTATCACCAAGCGCCAACCAGCGCTCATCAAGGCCCTCAAGAAATTCAACACATATTGCTCCGAATTTGAGCTGCTACGACCATCTGACTGTCTCATTCCAGTTCCGCAACCACTTCCCATCCAACTCAGTGCCCTGCGAGCCGACGAATCTTTGCATGAAGATGTTTGGATTACGCCAACAGAAGGACGCCCGCCGCGATGGCTCGATGACGAGGATGTCCGCCAGGGTATCCGTTGTCTCCACACCCTTGATCGGTGCCGAGAGGAGGCAATGCGATTGAAGATGGAGAAGGACAATCTGCATCAGTGGTTAGAGAGCGAGGTCCGAGTTGTTACATATGCTTTGGAGCATTATCAAGGTAAGGCTCAATTTATGCTTCCTGCTGCTCTGAGTCTTCTTGTCTTATACAGATGCTCTCGTACAATTGCCTCTTCGAGAGCGGCGGGAGTATTTGGCTATTCTAAAAGCTTCCTGGGCAAGAGGCTTGACAAGCGCCTCTATTGGTAATCGCACTCTCGACATACCAACACTGGTAGCTCCGACAAGCCATCAGGATGCTCTTCCTGTCCCTGTCCAGGTTGAGCTTCAACCATCAGATGAGCTTGATCAAGATGCTGAGGAATCGCCGTTCGACTCTCCTCAAGACGAAATGGCTCTAGAGCCTGATCTGGAGATGCTGGTGGATGGTACGGCCGATACTCAGGAGACACTAGTGCTCGAAGAAGAAGAAGGCGGAGATGATTCTCCCGAGGGAGCGGAGATCATCTACACATTTAAGTATTGCGACGAATCGGTCAGTTATCTGTTCTACCATATTTTCTTCGCTGATCTTTCTTTGGTAGCCTCCCCAGCTAGTTGACACGTCGCTTTTCCAGTGCTTGCAAAGCTATGTTAATCAACATCCCGGTCAACGAAGTGCCAACACTTCATGCACCATCATAGACATAATGGGCCGCAAGCATTTTATCGACTCAACAGACCTCGATCGCCTCTTGCACCGCAAACAATGGCTGAACAACTTTTGCCTCAACGGTGTTGCAGCCATCATTATGCAAAACTTCATGTCTCCGACCAGCTCCTGTGCACTCCTGAGCACGCTAGATCTGCATCGAGTGCAATACGGCGCGGACGACTCCGTTCTTTGGCATCATCTCGCGCCAACAGTCTACTGGGAGAAGGATCTCTGGCTTATTCCGATTCATCAACGGCAGCAACAACACTGGGTATTCGCGATCGCATCAAAACAGGAACAGCTATTGTTCATCGATAGTTTCGCAGATGCTGCTGGCTGGGATTCCGACCTCGAGGTAAGTAGCGCTTTGCAATGCAACTATCCTCTGACAACATAGCAGGATATCATGAAACTTCTCGCTCAAATGACTAAGCTAGCAATTGCGAATGGCCACCCCATCCCCTCTATCCACTCGAGCGGCCGTGGCTTGTGCATCCCTTATTCCAAGAGGTGTGCCCTCCTGCTTTGCATATTTGATCTACTCACTAGTATAAAGGGTGCATCTCAGCAAACCAACGGGTATGATTGTGGCCTATGGGTTATATGCATGATCGCAGCAGTTCTACGAGGTTTTAGCGTGGTGAATATTGTCGAGGCGGAAATGGCCTATATTAGACAGCTCTTCGCACATATGGTTCTCTCTAATTGAAAGCATTTCACGAGTTGTATTCAAACTTTGAGTCTACAGAAACTTTAAGTAGTACAGATGAAATATGTTACGAGCCTCCCATTGGAGGTAATGCTTCCACATCTCGAAGCTACAGGGCTGCTCGAGGGAATTGTACGATACGGAATAAGCCTGTTTCCATGTGTCAATGCGCGTCTTGAGCTCTGTGCGCAGTTTATCGACGGTCTTCTTGCGGCCTGATTGTGCAATGTCCGCCTTCAGATAGAGATCGCGTGTCCACTGGTTGCGCTGCCGCACTGCGTGAAGGATGATGGAAAGCTCATTGATTTGAGCATGATCCAGACCAAGTGCCTCATCGTCAACGTTAAATGGAGGGACTCGTTTCCAGATGGCAAGCGCAGATTCGCCCGGACTGATTGGAGATGCCAGAAGATCTTGAAACAGGATATTGTGTTCCGGAAGAGGGCAACGAGCGAATGCGACTAAATGGTCGGGGAGGGCTGGCAGCCGCGAGATGGAACAGAGCGCAACTTTGCGCTTGTTTCTGAGTACATTTTGCTCCGCTCGAACGGATTTACCACTAAATATTGATGAGTTTGGAGTAGATACCTTTCAGAAAGCAACCCACCGTTTACTCTGGTTATATGTTTGATTATAACGCCTTCGCGCTTCGGCTCGTTCTTCATCAGTATGATATAGCTTGAGACGAGTCATGGAGGAAGTGATAGTATGACGAAAGCTTGTAATGCAGTCAGTAACGTCACTCAATGCATTTCTTGTCCATGCATGCCAATCCAGTTGAATGGATAGCGGACTTGTGGAGGTATGAATGGACACATACCTTGAAAATAATGCCATATTTTGTCGAATTTTTCCCTGAGTAGATAGCGAGACCGATGTGAAATGAGATGATGCGAGTTTTTGTCTGGGAGCAGGAGGAAGCTCTGCGAAGACGACCATTTCACAATCCAGCTTGAAAATTATAAAGTGTGCTTACCTTGGGATCGGACAGTCATAGAAGAGGTGAAAATATATCCAGGTCATTGCTTCTTGAAGAAGAAGACATTAGAAAACGAAGAAGATCATGAAGCGAGATTTAACTGAAGATGAGGCGGCTTGCTACTGTCACAGTGTGACACATCACTTTGACTCCAACTCATGGGTGGCGGCGGCGGCAATGCTATGAATGCTATCTAACAGCTACCAATGCTGCTGATGCTCCCCAAACCTCTTCAGCTTATGCAAAACTGGGCAGTGGCGGCGTTTCATCCACGTGCCCTTTTTTTTT